CCCAACCACATATTGGTGAATCTTTTGGTGGACTGCCACCAACCCAATGAAATTCTGCTACCTGTTTCAATTCATTTGATGCACCCGAATAATACGCTACTTCCTAAAACGATCACGATTACTTTTGTTTCTGTGTTTTCTGCTATCCTTGCATTAATTTTCACTAGCATAGTAAATAAGTTGATTGTATCTCCATGCTGATTGAATATGATTTGAAATTTAAAAAAAAAAAAAAAAACTAACAACAAATTTATCTTGTTGTGGATCTAAATCGAGCAATGAATAATCTGAATAACGATCACCATTCTCGTCTATTGATACATTCCCCGTAATGCCTAAAATTAAAGAGTAATTAAATGATTTTAAAAAAAAGAAGTAATTAATAACTTGAACAATAATCATACAGGAATTTTACAATGAGAATTGGTGGAAAAATCTTCCACATAGTAATTAATAATAAAACTTATTGTCATAACGCTTAAGGAATTATTTTTTGTTAGTGTTATTTTTTTTTTTGTTTTTGTTACAAACAAAATTTATCCCATCTTTTTTAAAAAATATTTCAAATCAAAATAAAGTTATTTCGCGAATATAATATATAAACTCTTTAATTTTAGGCTTTGAGTATTATCATCCATTAAATTACTGTCAAAATATAATAATAATATAGAAACATAGAAATTTCCGAATAATTGTTTAAAAATGGAATAAAAATTTTGGTTAGTTCGTAGTGTTTGATACCAAATTTCAAAAATTTTTAAAAAGAAAAGAAATTTTGTTTCTTTACTCTTTTTTTCTTCTCTATAAAGTGATAATCGCTAAGAACTCTTTCATAGCAAAACAATTAATGCTTTTTTTTTCATCATGCATTAAATTATTGTCAAATACTTTATTTAAATTATCGTTAGCTATATCTCTTCTCGGAAGAAGTAAATGCAATTTTCATGTTAAATTAATTTTCTCCAAGTAATGAACTGGAAGAATAATTTGTGAAAATAAAATTAGCTCAAATAAGAAGCACAAAACAACGTGCTTTTTTTTTAAATTTCTAACATTTTTCTAAAAGTAAAAAGTTCCTGAAAATAATGCTATCAAAATTTCACGAACCAAAAACAACGAGTAAATTTTTGAACTTTTCATTAAAAAACGAATTACTGTATATTAATCGTATTTAAAATTCTTACAAATTATAATACTTATACAATATTGTAAGAAATAGTAACAATCGTTCTTATTGTTCAGTCTTAGAAGAATAATCAGTAATGTTTGATTACTTAAAAGATTGTTTGTACGAATAACGAATATGAATAAGTACGCATAAGTATGGTAGAAACGGTAGAAAAAAGTATGATAGAAATAAAGATAAGTACGGTA